TCTAGGAATCCTGTTCTCAGGCAAGGGTAGAATGGAGGGCTTGTGGATAGGAGACAGAACTAACAGGCCTCGGTACTGGTGGAATGCACGTGGCCCTGAAAACGGAATCTGGAATACTTCCCAGTTACTCTGCAAGGGGATGTGGTGCTGAGACATGGAGTTCAGGAAAAGGAGTGCACTTATTTTGCAGCTTAGGCTACATCAATTAATGAGTCAAAACTTGTGCAATGCTGGCTGTCACGCTGTATTAATGGGCCTAAGCCATGGGTGGAGGATATAGCTCAGGCAGAGGTTTCACTCTGTTGATTTTTTTTTCTGCTTGATCTAGTCTGTTGAACCCTTCTAATGAAGTTTCCAGTTTGATTATTGTGGTCTCCAGCTTGTTAGTTCAGTTTAGTATTTTGAAATATTTCTACCTCTAGGTTGAAATTCTCACTTTACTCATGCATTGTTCTCTTGACCTCGGTGAGCTTTTAGTCACCTGTTTTGTTTGTGTTTGGGTGAAAGGAGGCTATTTATTAAACACATATTATATTCAAAGGGAGCGCTGTGTAAGGGTTTGCAGAATATTTCCAAAATAATGCCCATATATGATTTAAGCCTGCCTTTATTACAAACAGCAGGATGGCTGTTAAGGAAAATATACGTCAGTGATTTTGAATTCTGTCAGGTAAATTACATAGCTTCGTTTTATTAGGGCCACTTTCTAAAGATTTATTTTGCACCTTTGGAACATCTTTGCCTGATTCTTTATTTTCCTTGAGTCTCTGTGTAGGTGTCTGTGCATTAGACAGAGGATGAGGGGAAACAGTGAAGAAGGAGGGTTGTGAGGGGAAAATATGAGAAAATAAAGTGGTAAGGGGAAGCTGGGAGGCGAAAAGGCAGTGAGGGAGAAACTGTGAGGAATGAGAGGGCTTGAAAGTGTAAGGAGAGAAAGCAGGGAGAGGAATCCTAAAGGGGAAAAGGCAGTGAGGGGGACACTGAGGAGAAAGCAGGGAGGGGGATATTGCAGAGAGGAGGTTGTAAGGTCAAATTGTTGTGAGTGAAGATGAGGGGAAAACCGAGGGGAGAAGGCTGTGAGAGGAAACTGAGGGAGAACGCATTGGGAAGGAAACAGTGAGGAGAAAAGACAGTGATAGGGAGACTGCGAGGACAAGGCAGTGAGGGGAAAACTGAAGACAGAAGGTGGTGAGGGACATTGTGAGGGAAGAGGGTCTAAAGCGGAAAGTGTGAGGAAATAAGGTGATACAGGGAAACTAGGAGGGAAGGCAGTGAGGAGGAAACTGAGGGAGAAGGCATTGAGCAGGAATTTGGTGGGAGAGAAGGCTGTGAGCGGAAACTGACAGGAAGCTGTGAGAAACTGTGAGGGGAGAACACAGCGCGGTAGAAACAGAGAGAGAAATAGGAAACTGCGGGGAAAAGAGGCTTGAAGGAAAGTTGTGAGGACAGAGGCACCGAGGGAAAACGTGTGAGGGTAGAAGGCGGAGAGGGGGTAATTGGCCGTGAGGCAGAAACTGAGAGAAGAGAGTGAGGGGGAAAATGTGCGGGGAGAAGGCTGTGACAGGGACTCTGTGAGGAGAGAGGTGGTGAGGGAGAAACTGCGGGGAGAGAATACCGGGAGGAGAACCTAGGGGGAGAAAACTTGGAGGGGAAAGCTGTCGGGGAGGATGAAGTGAGGGCGGTGAGAAGAAACTGTGAGGAGAGAAGGCTGTAAGTGGGAAAGTGTGTGGGGAGATGGCAGCGAGGGGGAAACTGGAGAAGCTGGTGAGAGGACAGTGAGGGAGACGGGAGTGAGGGAGAAACTGAGGAGAAGGTGGTGAGGTGAAACTGTCAGGGGAGACAGAGGTGAAAGGATAAACTGAGAGGAAAAGGTGAAGATAGAAAGTGGTGAGGAGGAGCCTGTGAGGGGAGCAGGAACCTGTGAGGGGAGCAGGGACCTGAGAGAAAAGTGTGAGGAGAAACGTCTGTGACGGGACACTTTGAGGGGAGAAGATAATGAGGGAAACTGAGGAGACAAGGCGGTGAGGGAAATGGGGGAAGCTGGGAAAAGTGTGGTGAGGAAGGGGGTGAAAGTCAAAGACAGAGGAATAAGGTTCGCGGTGGGGGTGGGGCGGGGAAGACGCCAGGTCGGCGCGCGGTGGGCGGGAGCCCGGCGAGGGGCGCGTAGCACCCGGAGCGCCAGCCGCAGGCAGCGCTTCCCCGAGCTGCCTCAGCCTGAGACTCGGGTCCTGTGCCGGGCGCGCGCCTGCTCTGCTCCGGGTCTCCACCTCGAGGCTATGAGAGTGCCTTCTGGATCTTCCCCGTTAGACCCACCACGGCAAGGAGGTTTGGCTTTGAGAGGAATTCTCTGAAGGGTCAGCTTCAGAAGAGAGACTTCGCTCGCCTCTTCCACAGCGGTAAGTTCCTTCTCCACCGCTTCCACCTCTTACAGTGGTGGCTCGCAGTCTGACTAAACCTGAACAAATGCAGTTCTTTTTGACTTGTACTTTTTCCCAGAACAGCAGCTGTAGGACTCTTAGGACTCTTCCTCCCTCCCTTCTTTCTATAAACCTTTTTATTTTGAATTAATTTAAGACTTACAAGTAGTGGCAAAAATAGTGTAACCAAAACAAAGAAGCCAGCAAACAAACAACCCCTCCAGAGCTTCCGCCGCCACAAAGTATCTTTCACCCATCTTTCCCCATTTTACATGATCATACATTTTTCAAAACCAGGAAACTGACATAGGTACAGTGTTATTAAGTAAACTACAGACCTTATTCAGATCTCATCAGTTTTTATATACTTTTTTTGGTGTCTATAGTACTATGAAGTTTTATCTCATATGTAGATTTATGAAATTGCTACTGCTGTCAGAATACAAAATAGTTTTATCGCCACAAAGAATCTCCCTCATGCTATGTTTTTAGTTAGACCTTCCCCCAGCCTTAACCCTAGACAACCACTGACTTGTTCTCCATCACTATAAGTATGTCATTTTAAGAGTGTTATAAATAGAATCATACATATGTAATCACTTGAGGTTCAAACAGCGAATCACCCTGGAGGTCCATCCAAGTTATTGTGTGGATCAGTAATTTGTTCCTTTTTGATGGCGTATGGTATTTCATTGTATGGATATGCGGCATTTTGTTGTCTGTTTGCCCACTGAAGGACATTTGGATTGTTTCCAGCTTGAGGCTATTACAAACGAAGCTACTACGAATGTTCCTGTAGTTTTTCTGTGTGGTCATGTTTTATTTCTCCAGGATAAATATCCAGGAGTATGATGGTAGCTAGATTGTATGGTCACTGTATGTTTCACTTTGTAAAAAACTGACAAACTGTTTTCCAGACTTGCTGTATCATTTTACATTCTCCTAGCAATCTGTAAGAGTAAGTTGCTCTAATCGTTTTAACACTTGCTGTTGTTATCAGTACTTTTAAATTTTAGCCAGCTGGTAGATCTTTAGTGCCACCTCATATATTTAAATTTGCATGTCTTTAATGTCTGATGTTGTTAAATCTTTTCATCTGTCTCCTCTTTGGTGAAGTGTCAGTTCAGGTCTTTTGCCCATTTTCTAAAGGGATTGTTTGTTTTCTTAACGTTGAATTTAGAGAGTTCTTGACATATTCCGAAGACAAGCCATTTGTTGAATATGTGTTTTGCAGATGTTTTCTCCCAGCCTATTGCTTGTATTTTCATCCTCTTGACAGGGAATTTTGAAAATCAAAGTTTTAAATTTTGATAGAGTCCAATTTATCTAATTTTTGTTTTATAGATTGTGTTTTTCATGTTACATCTAATCACAATATTTTTCTCCTATATTTTCATTTATAATTTTTACAGTTTTTAGATTTAAATTTATGATCAACTTTGGCTTATTTTTTTTAAAATAAAGTGTGATATTGAGGTTGAGATTAATTTTATTTTTGTTTGGTGGAAGTCCAGTTGTTTCAGTCACATCATTTATTAAAAATGCCATTTTCGAAGGATACCAAAATTGCCTTTGAATTGCTTTTGCACCTTTGTGAAAAATCAGCTGGGAGTATGAGTTGGGTTCTTTTTCTGTGCTATCATGTTCCGTTGATACACGGTTCTATTCCTCTTCTGGTACTATAGTGTCTTGACACTGTAGTTATATCGTAAATCTTAACATTGGTTTGTGTGATTCCACCTATTTTATTATGATTTTTCAATACTGTTTTAGTTATTCTTGTTCCTTTGCTGTTCCATGTAAATTTTAGGACCAGCTTGTCTGTATATACAAAAGAAAGCGTTTGATACAAATTATGCTAAACCTATAGATCAATTTGGGGAGACATGATATCCTTACTTTGTTGAGTCTTCCAGTTAACTAACACTGCATGTATTTCTAATTAGATCTATCTTTATATCTTTCATCAGCATTTTGTAGTTTTTAGCATTCAGATTCTATATATATTTTGTTTGATTTATACCTAAGTGTTAGTTTTCTTTGCAGTGGTTGTAAATGGTATTGTGCTTTAATTTTGGTTTCCTATTTTTTGCTAGTTTATAGAAATATGATTGATTTGTATTTTGTAGACTTGCTAAACTCCCTTAATAGTTCTAGAAATGTTTTTATAGTTCTTTGGGACATTTTCTCTGGATATAAACTTCTGAGTTGACAGTTCTTGTCTTTCAGCACTTGAAAACTGTTATGCCACTTTCTTCCAGCTTCATGGTTTTTGATAGGAAGTCCACTGTCATTCAAGTAGTTGTTCTGTAGGTAATGCTTTTTTTTTTCTCTGAATGTTTTCAGTATTTTTTCTTTGTCTTTAGTGTTCATAAATTTGAGTATGATATGACTGAGTATGGATTTCTTAGAGTTTATTGTATTAAAGAAAGGTTGACTTAGTTTCTTGAATTGCATGTTTATGTCTTTCACTAAATTTGGGAAGCCTTCAGTAATTTCTTCAATTTTTTTCTAGCACTCTTTGTCCTCTTTTTTTGAGATTCTGATGACAAGAATGTTAGTTAGTTTGTTATTTCCCACAGGTGTCTGTGGTGATCTGTTAATTTTTTTTTCTCAGTTTGGATTGGGTAATTTCAATTGATTTATCCTTAGATTTGCAGATTCTTTCTTCTGTGACCTCAGTTCTATTATTGGTAACCCCCTCCAGTAATTTTTCATTTTGGTTATTTTATTTTTTAATTATAAAATTCCTATTTGCTTCTTCCTTACATTTTCTATTTCTTTACTGAGATGTTCTATTTTTAAATTTGTTACAAAGGTGATCACAATTACTTGTTGGAACATTTTTATGATAGCTGCTGCAAAGTCCTGGTGAGATAATTCTAACACCTGTGTCATCTTGGTGTTGCCATTGTTTGCATTTTCTTACTGAGGTGTGATTTTTGAGGGTCTTGGTAATGACAACTGATTTTTTGATTATATGTTGGACATTTTGGATATTATACTATGAGACTCTTGCTTCTATTTAACTCTTCGTTTTAGCAGGCAGTCAACTTGCTTAAGTTTGGAATACACATACTGACCTACTTTTGTGGGCTGTGGTCAAATATTAATGGTTTTTAAGGCCTTTGCAATGCTTTTCTGGCCTGCCCCAGTTGTGTTTTATTCAGAGGCCAGTTTGAAACCTGGTAGTATTCCAGATCAATGCTCAGTTCTCAGATCCCTTAAGGTGTCATTTCTGGTCAGTTTTTTTTTTAGGTTTTCTACACTAAAAATTAAAAATTTTAAATGGAAATATAGTTGATTTACAATGGTGTGCTAGTTTTTGGTGTATAGTCTGGTCAGTTTCTTAGATGTACCACTCAGAAGGATTTCATACAGAGATTCAGAATATCCCCATCTCCTTTCCCTTTTATCCATCATCTTTCTTGCCCCACATTCTCTAGTTGGGAGGAAAACACTGCCTTGTCATTGCAAAGTAGGGGTTCTACCCCCAGTCCCCATAGCTGCTGTACCAGATAACCTTTGATTTAGGAATTACTCTTTTGAGAATTTAACCCCTTTTTTAAGTCTCTTACATTTTTTTTTAATTGAAGTAGAGTTGATTTACAATGTGTTAAATTCTAGTGCACAGTGTAGTGATTCATTTATACATCTCTATATATTCCTTTTCATATTCTTTTTCACCACAGGCCATTATAAGGTATTGAATATAGTTCCCTGTGCTATATACTAGGACCTTATTGTTTATCTATTTATATTTAGTCGTTTATATATGTTTATCACAAACTCTTAATTTATCCCTCTCTCTCCTTTACACCGGTAACTGTAAGTTTGTTTTCTATATCCGTGAGTCTGTTTCTGTTTTGTAAATAAGTTCATTTGTATCATATTTTAGATTCCACATATAGTGATATCTTATATGTCTTTCTCTGTCAAGCAGTACTTTCTTAATATTAAGTGTTCCCTGACCTGGTTGACTAGGTAGAAATCTTCCTATTACAGGTCATTTTAAGAATAATTGTTGTTACAATTGCAGTTTTACATGTTTATTATTGGATTAATGTCTTTTCCTTTGGAATAAGTTCCATGAGAGCATGGGCTGTATTTAATTGTGCCTACCAGTGCATTTTCAGCACTCAGGGCAATGCCTGGCATGTAACAGGCACTTGATACATGTTTGGTCAGTGAATCAATCAAAATGGAGGAGTAAAGTATGCAGTTGGAAATATAAGCTTGGATCTCATATAATTAAAAAAATGAACTCTACTTTGGTGTTATGTTATAATGGTTATTATAAAAAGTCTCTCAATTATATATAGTATCATAATTACTATAGTGCAATAGTGTGAAGCCATTATTTATTATGTCCCAACAGTTAACAAATAACTTACCTTTTTCCCACTGAATTTCCCTCCTTCTATGATTGGTGCCTTCATCTTATCAGTTACCCAGCTTTGTCAAAACCTTGGGATCATCTTTGAGGTTCTCCATGTCATATACATTCAGTTAGTTGTCAAAGTAAGTTCATTTCTCTTTCAAGATAATTTTCACATCTGTTTTTTTCATTTTATTCTCATCACCTCCAAATTAATTTAGTCTCTTGTCTTTTTATGGCTGTATCACTACAATAGTCTTCTACTGATCTCTCATCCTTTCTCATGTCTAAACCACCAAATTACTCTTCCTGAAAGACATCCCAGCTTATATTTCTGTTGCCTATCAAATAAATGAAATAAAAGTCCAAGTCCTTCCAGAACCCTGGTTTTTAATTTCAACCTTATTTTCTTCTATTACCCTCAGTGTTTGCCAATTTCATTCATATCCCACCACTTGTCATAATTGTTGCCGTATCTAAGTACATACAAACTGTACTATTTTTTATTCAGTATTTTTCTTTAAATTGACTCATCATTTTACTTAGTCTCATCCTAATCTATAATTTCTTCAAAATCATGGGCTTGATGGACTGTATACACCTTTTTTTCTAATTCATGTAATAATAAATATCAAGTTTTATATTAAAATATTTACCTGTGTACCACCTGAAATCATTCTATGCATTATTGGTGGTCTGGGGAACTAAACGTTGG